AAAAAACGTAGTGTGCTTTTTTATTTTTGCTTTTGTTGTATACCGACCGTATTGTTTGAGCAATAAGCAAACAAACATACCTGCTGTGAAAATGTTTTACGTGGAACAATGTTTTGTTCACACGTATACAAACACAAAAACCATCTCATTTAAAACAATAAAATCTAGCATCTCCTTCTATCGTAACAGCTATATGGAGTAATAGTATGGTGTAGTGGTTAAGGCATCAGGCTAGAAACCGGAAGACCTGGAGCAGGAGTCCCGCCTTAGGCACAAAGCCAGATGGGTGACCTTGGGGCCAGTCACTGTCTCTCAGCCCTAGGAAGGAGGCAGTGGCAACCACTTCTGAAAAATGACCCCCAGAAAACGGCAGGGACTTGCCCAGGCAGCCCCTGAGAATTGGACACAACTGAAGGGAAGGGGAGAAAATACTGGATGAGCTTAATGGAAGTAATTTTTATCGTTTTGTGTGCAGTGGGGCTGTAGGAAAATCAGTGCCAATGGAGAATAACTGGCTTAAGGGCAGAGAGTCAGTGAACAGCAGAGGTCAGATGAGTGTTTATGGACTTCCTGGTTCTTCCTGAGATGCCATCCTTTCACTGATTCATTATCTCACAGGATACAGTCAGCTCCCAATGTGCAGGGATATCTGATGGCCTTGGAGTTTTGGGCCATTGAAACGGGTCCCTCACAAGCCAGCTGCTTCTGTTTTCATTGCTTTCCTTAAACAGGCAATTAATTAAAAGCCTAAAAGGGCCATATATTGCTAAATGTCCCATTGATTTACCATTGGGGGGGCTATTTTGACTGTAATTCAAAACATTAACAATTCTCATGTTTTGGTACTCTTTTTTCAAATGGATGAACCTGGCAAAATTAGGGTACGTGCAGTTTTAGATTTGTTTCCTAATCCACAGTGACAACTTTCACCGAAAAGAAGCTGCATTTTCGCTTGTTATTTTTCATGTAATTTGCTCTTGCCTGAAATTGCAAAATGTTGCTTCTTGAAAACAACCTCTTCCCTTTTCTGATGTAGGAATGACAAAGATGGCCAAGATGATTGACGAACGACAGCAAGAACTGACTCACCAGGAGCACCGGGTCATGCTGGTCAACTCCATGAACACCGTGAAGGATCTCCTCCCAGTTCTCATTTCAGGTAACCCTCCGTCAAAACAAGCACGGGGTTGCGTGAAGACAGACGCCATAAATGTGTGAAGCAAAGGAATAATACGCATAGTGAACGGAGCTCAGAAATAGATTCTTCTTGTATGTCTGATAATCCTACGGTGGAACTAAATCTGTGGTTTTATTTGTGGCTGTCTTGGTGGGGTGGGGAAGTTCTCAGCTGACATAGTCTACATATCTCCTATTTATGTTCTGGAAGCTGGGCTTCCTGGGACATGTGAACGGGAGGGGGGGCTATTTATATGTTGTTATATTTGTGATGCTTGCCTTGAGTGGGCACGGCAGTTCAGACTGATCTTGCTTCTGTTTGATTTTGGATCAAGATTTTGGATCAAGTTGAAAAGCACAAACATTTAGCTCAAACAATAACAATAATTGTGATTAAGAAAGGAAATGTTACTTAATACCGACGGTCTGCACTTTAAATCTTGACTAGGAAAAAAACCTGCTCCTTCTGATTATTTCCCCAAAAAATCTGCAAAAGTGAATTGCACAAGCATTTTTTAAAGACTTTTGAAGAGTGGAATTCCAGAAGTCATAGCTTCCAATNTCCAATATCAACAATATCAATAATGATGTTGCTTCTATGGGTAGACTATGTCCAAAAGATGTTTTTGAAGAAATGTCAGATGTAAAACAAATTTTATCTGACAAGGTAGAAATGATATCAAAAGTGGGTTTACAACTGACAAGCCAAGATAATGATTTAGAAAAGGATATTTCACTGGGTCTACCAAAGAAACTGGCTGAGATTTTAAAATTTAAAAGGGAAATACAAATGAAAATCTCAGAGAGTGACCTGGATATATTTTTTCCTATTGAATTTACAAAAGAGGCTTGTTAAAGCCTTGAAGAACTCTGTGCCATAGGACAAAGAAGAAATTAAGATAAATCCTACAACAATATTTGAATGAACTAAAGATTAAGTCTGTTAGAAGTAAAAGAAAAGGATATAAATATGGTTTATTTGATCAAGGTTAAAACAAGGTATGTTGTTACTTCTGGCTACCCTTTTTGGGCTTTCTGTTGACATCAGCACTGAAAAAAAAGATTTATGGATTTGGTTATAGATAAACAAATACACGGTGTGGGGTAAAGAGATAAATGTAACTTCTAGGAGGGTGAAGAGTAACTACAATTGTTTAAATTATTGTGATGAAGGTTGGAAGTTACTTCCTTATGTCTGTCTTTTCTCTTTATGCTTTCTAAGCTCTTTTCTTGTTTTTTTCTTTCTTTCTGTTCACTTTTCTTTCCTTAAGTTTGTATCGGATGCTATTATTATAATCAATTTGGGGATGTGGCCATATAGGGTATCATCCTTTATGCTGCCCACGTTTATGCAAAAGAACATTTCCCAGTGCATCTTCCTGTTATTGTTTGACCCTCTGTGTAATTTCTGCAGCAATGAAGATTTTTGTAACAACTAAGAACTTTCAGAGCCAGGGAATTGAGGAAGCCTTGAAAAACCGCAAATTTACAGTGGAGAAGATGAGTACAGAAATAAATGAAATAATCCGGGTATTGCAGCTGACTTCCTGGGATGAAGATGCTTGGGCCAGCAAGGTGGGTGTCCTGCCTAGTTTGAGAGAGATTTAGGATTAGACAGGTAAGAATCTGAACCCAAATTTTGAAGAAAAAAAACAACAACACCAAGTACTGATTTACAAAGCGATGCTAGTTAAGTTGGTTATATGATTTTACCTTTAAGGTAATGCAGTTCCTTCGTTAGCAGAATATTAAATATAGTGAGAATATTTTAAAACTGTTTTGCGGATTTCCTATAATGGATCAAACAAATTGGATTGCTATTTGTTTTAAAATTGCATCTCTTGGCAAGGAAACGCCCCAATAGGCAAATAAAGTATCACAATCTGAATGTTTTTAAACCTCACCCGTTTTCAGATGTGTGGACTTTGGACATCCCAAGGACATCTTGAAAGTTGAAGTTCCCACATCCTAAAAAGATTGACATGGTCTTCCTTCCTGGAGTTAAGTTTTGAGATGGGTACTTAAATGCCCGCAGATTTATAACTTGAGACCTAAACTGGTTAAAACTGAATTTTTGATTTTGGTTGAAAAGCTGCAAATTTCCAGTCAGTGGACCATTGCAAATGTGTTGGCTTCAGGGAGAAAATGACAGTTTTCAGAGACTTTTAATGACCTTAATGGGTTGGGAACCACAGAACTGTCAAGCATCTCACAAGCTGTGCACTTCTATCCATTGCTCTTATTGACGGGAGTTCCCATGTAGGGACAAACTATGTTTTAGCAGGATGACCCTGTGGGAGGGGTTGACCTCAAGAGCTCCGCCCTTTTCTTCTGCTCTGCTGCTGGCAAAAGGAATAAATCAACATTTGGTTTCGATTCTGCAGCTTTGTGACTTACCGGGTGTCCCAATATTGTATCTCCTGTAAACTGGGAGTTTTTAAAAAACATCACTTTGATTTAAGCACGCTTAGGCCCGCAGAATTTAGCGATGCTTCCTTTGCACTAAACCACGAATCTGTGAAATGGAATTGAATTCTGGCTTACGAATCACTGAGATCGACGGAAGGCAGAACTGTGATTGTGGGTCAGGTTCTGCAGAGGGTGCCTCATTATCGCTTGGGACTGATAGCAGATTAGCCCACTATTATTGATAATTTTTTTCTTAGAACTACTACTTATAAATATATACATGTATATCTATATATCTTTCTCCTTAATTTTCTCCTTTCCCCTCCCCCCTCCCCTTTTAGAAGGTAAGATCTCTTCCTCAACCCGCAACTGCTGCCTTTTCTACTAAAACAGAACAGCATGACTCGAGGGTGTTGTGCTGTGTGTTGTGTGGTTTCCTGTGTTACACTTCGGGTAGTCCTTGACTTAAACAACAATTCATGAGGTTACTCCAGTTACACCAGAACTGGGAAAAGATGACCGTTTTTCACACTTATAACCGTTGCAGTGCCCCCCCCGCAGGGTCATGTGATCAATATTCAGGCGCTTGGCAACTGACTCGTATTTACGACGGTCGCAGCGTCCCGGGGTTGTGTGATCACCCTTTGTGACCTTCGCAGTTGGTTTCTGGCAAGCGAAGTCAGTGGGGGAAGCTGGTTTCGCTCAACAACTACACTAATTCTCTTCACAACTGAGCCAAAAAGGGTTGCAAAATGGGCCACAGCTCACTTAATGACTGTCTTGCTTAGCAGCAGAAATGTTGGGCTCAATTGTGGTCATAGGTCAAGGACTACCTGTACTCACCTTTAAAGGCGGAGTATTTCAAGCGATTGAGAGTCTTGCTGTGTGACGGGGCTGTTTCCAAGGAACGACCGTCGGCCTTGAATTTTGCAAGATGGGGAAACCCATACTGGGCTGCGGTAGCTCTCCCAGACCCCCAGCTCCTTCTGCCTGGGCCTGACGAGCGTCCCGTTCTCTGGGGCGACGTTTCACCCAACTTTTCCTTTCCTTTGGGGGATATGGTCGATGTGAGGGACGCTTCAGGCATGCCTGGGCAACGGTTCTTTGTAATTTCAACTTCATGAGAAGGGAGAAGTGACTCTTTTGTAGACGTTGTCACAAACAGATGCATATCAAATGTTGTGTTTAGGGACATGGCGAAATGGGCTATGAGGCATAAATTACATAAATCGAATTAGATGCCCTCCTATCTTACCATACCTCCAAATGCAATGTTTAATACATGCATCTGTTTGTGACAGCGCCATAAGTCTACAAAAAGATAATTTTTATACGTGTACATATACACTTTTTATTGGTCAATGACCAAAATAAAGGTTCTGTCTGTACATGTACATGTATATTGTAGGAGTTGATCAGACTGAGCCTGAGGGAGGGAGGCCAAGCGCGTCATCAGCCTCGAGTGCCTTCGTGCCCACCAGAGCTCTCAGTCCAGCCCAACTTGAATTCCGTTGGCTCTTATCTACCACCAGTTTGCTCTGACTGTTAGTAGTTCAGATTCTTGTAGAGAGCGTTAGCATACGATAAACCTATATTCATTTGAACTGCCTAGACTCCCGGTTTCCTGCCCTTGGCATGTCTATGTACATGTTTGGATTTGCTTGGAGTTGGACTGCAAGCAAGGCAGACTATTGTAGGGGTTACAGCGGTAACTCCTGAGCTCGTGGGCAGCGTCCGCCGGACTGTGAGCTCAGCCGGCTGTTTGACAGGGTCTCTCCTGGTTGACCAAAGCTGCCTGGAAGGTGACCTGCAATGGGGTCTGTGCAGTGGGATCTGCTTCTTTGAGGAAAGGGTTGTTTCCTCCCTGCTCTGCTCTCACTGTGTGTGGAAGTGACACCCGTCTGGACTCCGAAATGAGACAGGTGAATGGGAGACCCCTTAGCGGAGGTCTCTGAACCCCTAATCGGTTCTCTCGCTTCTCCTGAAGCCCAGGCCCTCCCAGACTTCAACGGTCCCGACTAGCAAGCAAACTTTTTAAAAGGGCTAGATTCTGCATGGTGAGGATTACAGGACGTATAATCTTGGCTTGCTTGTCAAGGGAGAGTTATGGGGTGTTCTTTGTCCTGAATCTTCTAAACAGAAAATGCTTCCTAACATCATTCGGCCATTTTTTCTTTTTTATTTCTGACGTGTTTTTATCCATTGTATGTGTTATTGTATCAATGTCTGAATGTGCTAACCCCTCATTGTCCCATTATATGAGATGGGCAGACATGGGATTCTAAGCAATCAATCTCTCCTATTTCTGGTTGTTAAATCAAGTGGTTTAGGAACTTCCTTTTAAAATGCAGAGGGTAAAACAGGTAAATGAACTATTTTACATCTCATTTTAAGTCTTCCACTCTCCAAATTCCATCTTCTGGCATCATGTAAAGTTTGAAGAACCGACCTGAGTATCTGCTTTGGGTTTTGAGTGTTATGTGGTGCTGTGGTGATTGGCAAATTGGCTCCCCCCCCTTTTTAATGCATTAGATACCAATAAATAAGAATATTCTCACCACTCATGGAGAGAAGTGTGCATGGGGTGTTCTGTGTGGCTATTCTATTTTGTGAGGGTAAAGATTTAACATTTGTTCTGAATGCCATCTTAATTTTTTTTTCTCTGAGTGTTCTGTGCTTGGAAAACAATGGACCACAACTAAGGCCTTACAGAATGCATGCTCTACCTTGTGCCTTTTCAGTAACAGAAATGGCTCTGATATTGATAATTCCATGAGTTGCTTATCATGGGAGAGAACTGCCTGCGAACCAAGAAGCATTTTGTATCATAAATTGCACCAACACCGGGATTTGTTAGTTGTCTATGAGGATAATCTCCTATTTTCTTCTTTTTCTGTAAAGGACACGGAAGCCATGAAGAGGGCGCTGGCTCTAATCGATTCCAAGATGAAGCAGGCCAAGGGCTGGCTCAGGGACCCCACTGCTCCAGCAGGTGATGCCCACAGGGATCAGAATGGGGTGGGACGACCGGAAAGAGTATTATTCAAGAGGGAAATGGCAAGTTAGCTCTTGGGACAGATGAAAAAAATTCAACCAGGGCTAAATTAAGCCCCTTTGCCGCGGTCCTTGTTCACCCGGGCAATGACCGATCCGGTATGGGTTTCCTTCTCTGTTGTCTCACGGTTAATGGGTGGTGGATATTCTTAGTCTCGGTTGGGACTTGTCTGGCTGGAGTGACCGTTCTGGTATACTTCCTGGTGGTATACCTCCAGCACAGCTCTCAACAGAACGCACACGCCCCTCCCCCACAACAATGGGGTATCCTCATGGAGGGGACGGAATAGATAGGAGAAGGCGCCTGCGTATACCTTGGACAGCCAAGGTGACCAACAAGCAAATCCTGAAGCACATAACACCAGACTGTGACTGGAAGACAAAATCATGAAACTGTGTCTCATTTATTTGGGGCACGTCATTTGGGGGGGGGGGGGAATTCACTGGAGAAAGCAACTGTGTTTGGAAGAGTTAGCGGTAAAAGGGAACTAGGTCGCCAAAGAAGACGGTGGCCGGAGACCGTCCAAGTGGCCATCAGCCAGAGCTTAGAACAACTCGAAGGAGCAGGGCCAGATCGGAAGAAGGGGAGAGACTACCTGGCCCACAGAATTGCCAAGAGTTGGACCCGACTGAAAGGATAACACCATCATCCACAATCTATGTTGGTTTTGTCAACAGCTGAGTGAGCAGCATCCATGGCACCGCAGTGCTTCCCCCCTCGGCGACAGTCCTGCTGAGTCCCATTTCTCCCCCTCCGTTAAGGAACCATCGCTTTCTTTCTTCTCAAATTTATGCCTGTTGGCAAAACAGAAGCCGAGATTCTGGGGATGCTGAATTATGATACAGTTATTACAGCATTTTCCTTTTTCGATGGCATAAATTGCACCCATAAACACAAGTTACTTCCTGGGGAAGCTTTTAGATCCCTTCAACAAAAGCAAATTGATATTAGGCTACATATTTGCAAAATGTGTTTGTCTCAGCTTCTTTGCCCATCCTTCCATTCAGATTCTAGGCAGCTCACAGAGATGGTGTTTTTTAAAAAAGGCACAAATCAAAAATTAAAACATGAATAAAATACAACGCTAAAAGTGGTAAAATTAAGAAGAGGGGTCACGGTATGTCCATCCTGAAAGGGAAGAGCTTCCAGAAAGCTATGAGACTGAGGGCCAAAAATACTTCAGGCCAGGAGTCTCCAACCTTGGCAACTTTATGGCTTGTGGACTTCAATTCCCAGAATTCCTTAGCCAGTCAGCAATTCTTGGAGCATGGCTGGCTGAGGAATTCTGGGAGTTGAAGTCCATAAGTCTTAAAGTTGCCAAGATTGGCTACCCCTGCGTTAGTGGACAAGCTCCTCCTGAAGAGAGTTTGGAAATCCTTGCTCATTTTGTTAAGTTATCCAAATAATTTAGCTTGTAATCTTCCTTAATTAATATTCTGGAATGGTTTCTGTTCTTGGTTATTGCCTATTTATTGTTGTATTAGGATAACTCATTTGTTAAAAAATACGATCCATATTTAAATAAATATAGTGTATATGAGTAGAGCTCTATAATTAATTAAATCAATTTGTCTCTCCATCTTGATTTGATTATATTGGCCCCAGAGTGTTGATAAGATTTTAAATTGATGGAATAACTTCTGACACACGCCATGCTATGCTATTAAGATGAATGTAACTAACTTGTTTTTACTATATATTAGGATGTCAGCAGTTAGTAAAACAAAATCTTGGCTCCAGATTTGCAGAATTATATTTATTTTCTTTCCCAAGTCTAACACTTAAACTTTTTTTAAAAAAAACAAAACCCAACAATGGATTGCATTTGACAGGGAGCTAATGAGAAGTTGACATGCAGGTTCCCGGTATTAATCCCAGCAACAAGTGACATGGTTGAGGTGCCTGCAGTTCATCTCCGGCGGTCAAGCAAGGAGACGGTCAGCCTCTAGCTAGCACAAGCTCCTCTGGAACAAGGGACAATTGGCCTTGTGACCGTTTGGCTGGAGATACGTTTTTTACTCTGTTTCATCTGCTGCTGAATTTGCTGCCTATTATTTTGGGCCAACCAGTGGGAGACTCCTGGTTTAAGAGAAGGTGGATCTCGGAACTTTAGATTCTGTTCATTTATCCATGTTATTGTTTTTTGTGCCTTTTTTTTGAGCAGAATAGCCCTGCTTCCATGCATAGGTAAATTAGCTGTTAGAATTCTCAGTAAGTCAGCGCTGTGATTGGGAATTTGCATGATTATGCATCAGATATATGGCCTCTACTCACCCATTCTTGCTTCCCAGGGGACGCTGGCGAACAAGCCATAAGACAAATCCTGGATGAAGCAGGAAATGTTGGAGAATTGTGCGCAGGTAAAGAACGCCGGGAGATTCTAGGCACCTGCAAAATGTTGGGCCAGCTGACGGATCAACTAGCTGATCTTCGGGCCAGGTAACCCACTACCAACAAATTACAAAACTTGCCTTTCTTTAAAAAAAAAAAAAAAGAAGAAGCTAAAATCACCCAGAGGGGAGAATTTGTATCTATTTATTTTACCAGGGCTATAACAGTGGTGGGTTAGGCTTGTTCAAGGGGTTACCTTTCCCGGCATTCTGCTTGTCAAATCGTCCTCAGATTAGAGTTGCTCTAAAGCAGGGGTCCCCAATCTTTCCGTGTCAGTGGCCTGACCCAGCAGGGGAGGAGGGGACAAGAGGGGATGGTTTTGTACGAGGGGCAGGTGTGTGCACGCGTGCGCACAGCTTCATTTGTGTGAGTGAGAGCTCACACAAGTGAGCACTGGTGCCTGCTGCTTGCACAAATTGGGCTGGCAGGGTCTAAGGTACTCTTTAATGTTATTTAAGGCTTTCTTCGTGTGCTTTTCCTTGCTCCTGATGTCAGCCTTGTGAGTTAGTCCAGACAAGGAGTTACCCTCAGGAGCGCTAGCTCTGACTTTATTGTAAGGTTACCTGAGCAAAATCTGAAAGGGCTTCTATGACTCTTTCTCCCCTTGGGCAGGGGGCAGGGGACCACCCCTCTCGCAATGCAGAAAGCTCAGCAGATCGCTCAAGGGCTGGACTTGCTGACAGCCAAAGTGGAAAACGCGGCTCGCAAGCTGGAGGCCATGACCAACTCCAAGCAGGCCATTGCCAAGAAGATTGACGCTGCCCAGGTACCCCCAGTCCTGCCCGGAGGAGGAGGGTGGGTGGGTGGCGGATACCCTTAAAGCGATTCTGGTGTCTAAATGATCATGACTTCCGTTGCTGTCATGATTTGAGAATGACTGAATTCAACAGTTGCAAATCTTGTGTATTCTTCCCGTCGACTTCTTGTAAATTCACTTTATGCCAGAGAACTCTTGGTTTTAACCTTGAGGACAGACCTTGGCTCCACCAAGAAAGTGTGGGCTACGTTATCTGCCGTTGAGTCAGTTTTGACCCGAACAGCATTTTAATGTTAGAGCGAGGGAGACTCAGAGACAACACGCAGACCCCTCTTGACACCCCCTTCCCCTGTTTCTCTTTGTGAAGAGCTGGCTGGCAGATCCTAACGGGGGCAGCGAAGGAGAAGAACACATCCGAGGAATTATGACTGAAGCCAGGAAAATTGCAGAGCTCTGCGAAGACCCCAAAGAGAGAGATGACATTTTGCGGTCCTTGGGAGAAATCTCTGCTTTGACAGCTAAATTGTCCGACCTTCGAAAACAGTATGTGTTGACCTCTTTTGTAGGCATTCAAAAGTATCCCTGTGTTTCAGTGGCCTGGCTCCACCGTGTATGTCCCATCGCTTTTAGGCAGGGCTTCTGGCAGCTTTAAGAGGCGTGGACTTCAGCTCCCAGAATTCCCCAGCCAATCCTAAAGTTGCCAAGATTGGCAAACTCTGCTTTAAAGGGCTACTGTGCTTTCACGCTGGAATAGCCTTGCCCCTCTGTGTTGCTGCTGAGCATCCGTTATTTGCGGGACGGGAAGCTCTGTGGGCGTATAGGAACAGCGGTCGTTTGAGGTGCCCAGAGATCCGTGATCATTCAGGGCAAGACAGGGGAGGAAGATGGATTTCCTTGCACCTTCAAGCTATCCTTCAAATCGTGGTGCCCACTTTATGCAACCTCCTCCCTCCCACCCCCAAAGTGAGGCTGGCTCCACCCCATGGATCTCCCAGGAGCTCCTCAAAACCTGGTTGTGCCATCAGGCGTGGGGGATCCCCGGGGACTGGTGAGATGTTGGGATAACATCTGCTCTTTGCCTAAAATTTGTGCTTTTTTAGCCTTCTGGGTTTTTTTACGTTTTTTAATAATAATATGTAAATAATAATATCAATATTTAAACACAAATAATATCTAAATAATAATATTTAAGTGATGACTGCTGGATTGATGGCAGACTCCATCATCTCCCCCCCCCTTTGCTCTCTGCTCTCCATCCATCCATCATTTTGTTATTGATGTAGCCTTGTTTTCTTTTTCATTGTTTATTTTATTGTTCTATTATTTTTCTTCTGTTCTGCTTACACTCATTTCATTTCTTCCTTTTTATTGTTGTAAGCTGCCCAAAGTAAGCCTACAGCAAGATGGGTGATAAATAAATTTAACAAATAAAACAATAAATCAATTGCTTTTAGCCTTGATCTGTGCTGCTCAGCTGTGAGACGGGCAGCTACATAAATTCAGTGCACGAGTGAACGAATAATCCAGTGTTGTTTGGAGGACGCTTTGAGAATTGGGATAAAACTGAGATAGGTTTGCAGTTTTAGTAATGCTTCCACTTCTTAAGATGTGTCTTATGCAAAGTCTCCAGACAACAGCAGTGTAAATTTAACCTTTCTTAATGACATTCGTTTGTTTTTTTCTGCTTACCATTCTTATTTTCCCTTGTAAATACGATCCTGTATCACCACTTAACAAATCCTTTGGGCATTGTTAAGTTTAAGGAGCGACGGTGCTTAAGCTTGTAAGTAGCTGATTCACAGTTCTCGCGCTTGAACTTTGTCTTCTTAATGGACCCCTTTACAAGGCTTACTTAGCAGCCTTTCTTTTCCCAACAGTGGGAAAGGCGATTCGCCAGAAGCCCGGGCATTAGCCAAGCAAATAGCGACATCGCTTCAGAATTTGCAGTCCAAAACCAACAAGGCTGTTGCAAACAGCAGGCCCGTCAAGCCAGCTGTTCATCTGGAAGGCAAGATTGAGCAAGCTCAAAGATGGATAGACAACCCTACGGTTGATGATCGGGGTGTAGGTAAGCTGGTCAATGTCACTTCCTCAGAGAGGGCGCGCAGCAAGGTCTCTCTGATGTGGCAGTCTAGGAGCCTTGGAAAAAGGGGGCGCGATGGCTGAGCTTGTCAGCTGCAGAGCTGACAGCCCGGATTTGAGAGGAGCTCCCGTTCCTTGCCTCAGCTCCTTGCCTCAGCTCCCGTTCCTTGCCTCAGCGTAATGGCAGGCCCACTGAGCAGCTCAAAAGCAAGCAAATACAAGTAGATAAATAGGTACCACTTCGGTGGGGGCGGTAACAGCGTTCCGTGCGCCTCCGTGTATAGCCATGCTGGCCGCATGACCACGGAAGCGTCTTCGGACAACGCTGGAGTGGAACACAGCTGGACAGGGGGAAACCTTCACCTTTTAACACGGGAGAGGTGAGAGCCTTTCCTGCAGTGGCCTGCCATGACGCTTCTTGATTTTACTCCAGCTAATTTTCCCTCTGGCCCAGGCTGCTCTCTCTTCTTGCCTCCTCAGTGAACCAGGAGAGCATCTAACGGAAAGGTGAATTACTTTTTATGCAGGCCAGGCTTCCCTCCGGGGACTGGTGGCCGAAGGGCGCCGCCTTGCCAACGTCATGATGGGGCCCTACCGCCAGGACTTGCTTGCCAAGTGTGACCGGGTGGAGCAGCTGGCTGCCCAGTTAGCTGATTTGGCCGCAAGAGGAGAAGGCGACTCCCCACAGGCCAGAGTCGTGGCTCTTCAGCTGCAGGAGGCGCTGAAGGTAAAGAGGAGGCCCAGAAGGCTTTCCCAGCAGATTTTCAATAGATTTGCCCTTTTAAACTTAGTGGACAGCCCAGAGCACAACTGTCAGGCGGGAAGAACCAGGGCTGGATGTTGAGTTCCACTTAAGGTGACTCACTGCTCCTGCCTATTCATAAGGGGGGGGGAGTGGTTAAAGACGCTGAGCTTGTCGGCTGGAGAGATGACAGCAGGGGTTCGAGACCCAAGTGCTGCAGGACGGGGCGAGCTCTCGTTCCTTGCCGCAGCTCCTGCCCACCTAGAAAGCATGCAAATGCGAGTGGAAAAACAGGTACCACTTTAGTGGGGAGGCAACAGCCTTGGCGTATAGCCACGCTGGCCACATGACCACGGAAATGTCTTTGGGCAACGCTCGCTCCCTCGGCTAAGAAACGGAGATGAGCACCACCTGCCCCTTAGAGTCGGACACGGCTGGGCAGGGGAGGCCTTTACCGTTATCTGTTGGAATCCAGTCAGTTAATGATCAGCACTAAATTGGGACTAGATAAGAACAGAACTCAAGAGGGATTGGACTTAGCCTGCTTGTGAGAACATAAGGACTCTAGTCTGATGCCTCTCTTGACTCCACACACACACACCCGCCCCCGAGGCTCTGCCTGTCCTCCTCCTGCAATAACATTGGAAAAGAATAAGGGGGAAAAAAAGAGAGTCAGTTTGGTGTAGTGGTTGGACAGCCATTTGTCTGAAATGGAGTAGGGTCTCCTGCTTGAGCAGGGGGTTGGACGAGAAGACCTCCAAGGTCCCTTCCAAGTCTGATATTCTATGTTCTTCTTGAAAACTTCCAGTTTTCACAGCTTTCGGAGGTAAGACGTTCCACTGATGAATTGTCCTCACTGTGAGGAAGTTTCCCCTTAGTTCTAGGTTGCTTCTCTCCTTGATTAGTTTCCACCCGTTGCTTCTTGTCCTGCCTTCAGGTGCTCTGGAGAATAGCTTGACTCCCTCTTCTTTGGGGCAGCCCCTGAGATATTGGAAAACTGCTTTTCATTAGATGCATCTCTCAATGTGAAATTTCTTAATTCTTGTTAAGGATCTTAAATCAAGGATGCAAGAAGCTATGACCCAGGAAGTGTCGGAAGTGTTTAGCGATACCACAACCCCAATCAAGCTGTTGGCAGTAGCAGCCACTGCTCCTCCAGATGCGTCCAACAGGGAGGAGGTGAGTGGGTGTCTGAGAATCAACATTTGGCCAGCAGAAATGTTAATTTCCGCCCTTCCAGCCTGCTCTGCTTAAAGCGATGTAACTATCGTCATTTTGAAGATGCCGGTCTTTGAGGATTCTATATCAATGAACTAACAGGATTTTTTTCAAACAGTACTTTATTTCTATGTCCAACATTTTATTTCTTAAAGTTAACTTTTGTAAATACTGTTACATGTAATTTAATTAGACAGAACAAAGTCAGTGGCCTTCAAAGTTAGGTTTATGTCAGGTGCAAGATGTTAGGAGCCCAGGCGGTTCAAAGGAATGCAGGTTTAATGCATGCTAACACTTTCTAGAAGAATCTGAACTACTAACAATCAAAGCAAATTGGTGGTAGTTAAGAGTCAAAGGAATTCAGGGAGGGCTGGAGGTCGATCCCTTGTGGGCACGAAGGGACTCAAGACTGATGAGGCGCTTGACCCCTCCCTCCCTCCCTCGGGCTCAGCCTGGTCATCGCCTACAGTTTGGGAACTAAGCAATGTGTTTGATTGTCCAGTTCTCTGCATCCCTAAATTTAGGCTCAAAGCTCTCCAATTGAATTGGAAACACTTCATCTCTTGGGAGACCCACCCGTTCCCCTCTGGTGGGAAGAGGGTTTGTGCTCTATTTCCAGCCTGGGATTCCTGCAGTGGGAACAGCAGACAAGGATCCTGTGATTAGCTTAGGTCCAGCTCAACCCTCAGCTGTGCCAGTGGGGCGCTTCTTCCCTACACCGGCCGGCAGCCCTGGCTGAACAGTCCTGAAAAGGCGTCTCCTCCGCTTTTAAGCAGAAGCAACCTCTCGCCCTGGAGCCAGTGACCGGGGGGTGGGGGGTGGGGGCTGCTGCACGGAAGCCAGAGGCAGCAGTGGCTGCAGAATGAATTGTGGTTTAGCTGGACGTCTGACCAGTCACTCAGTGACCTTTCAGAGTTATTGCAAACAGCCCCAAAGCTGCTTATGGCCCAGTTCTGATGTTCCAATTCTTTCCCCCGTGGCCGTGAGATCACATTTTGGACCCTCAGCAACCGGCCCAACCACATTTACGGTCATTTGCACTCTCCCACTGTCACGGAATGACAATTTACAGTGTTTTTGCTGGAAACCGGCGGCATTTACTTCCAGTGTCCAGCAAAAACTGCCCACACCGAAGAATGGGTTTCGTAAAATCAGGCCAGTCAGGTCATGATCTGCTTTACGATCATCGTGACTGACAACCGTAATTCCCAGGCTCAGTGAGGGCCATAAGTCAAGGACCACCTGCAGACACGTCGCACCTTAAGAGACGTTGCTCACTGTGGATCCCAGGGCTGGATTGACTGCCCGGGAAACACTCCCAGGTTCTGTTTTTGTTCCTGCTTCAGGGCATCTTTGATGATCAGTAGCTGAGTGAGCTTTCTCTATTTTTTCTACTTCATTGGTTAATTAAACAAGCCACCTTATACAAATATGAAAATAAGGGCCAGAAGGTCCTCTCTGTGGTGCTTATTTCTCCATTACTTGATTCACACGACTGTCATCGTTCTCTGCTCTGATAGAGCAAGCAGGGATTCTCCCAAAAGAAGAATATTTCGGTGTTCCCACTGAATGAGCCTTTGGTGAATCTCTGAAATATTCTTCATAAAGCCGAGGCTGAATGGGCTTGTGTAAGTTGGTCCTGGCTCGGTTTAAACTCTTGGGCCTTTTTCAGTTTGTAAAGGGCTCACTTAACCTTCCAGGTCTTTGAGGAAAGGGCAGCCAACTTTGAGAATCACGCGGCGAGGCTGGGGGCCACGGCGGAGAAAGCGGCGGCTGTTGGGACAGCCAACAAAAGTACCGTGGAGGGCATCCAGGCGACCGTGAAGTCAGCAAGGGAACTGACGCCTCAGGTGGGTCCCCCTCCCTCCCTCCCTCTCTCTTTCTTTCTCTGACTCTCTACTTCTTTCTCTCTCTTTCTCTCTTTCTCTGACTCTCTACTTCTTTCTCTCTCTTTCTCTTTCCCTGACTCTTGCTGTTTCTCGCCATTTCTCTCTCTTCCTCTGACTCTCCCTCTCTTTCTCTCTCTCTCTCTCTTTTTCTCTCTCCCTGTCTCCATCACAACATCCCTAAAATGTTATGACTTTAGGCTTGATCACAATCTAGGATTGAAAGTAAGGAAATGACTTCCATAGACCTGGAAGTCATCTAAAGAATTCAGGGATGCGGTGGTCTTCCTAAATCAAGCATCCCATGTTACGGAATGCAAGTAATGATCATAGAATCAAAGGGCTGGGAGACTTCCAGCCTCTCTCAGGACAGGGGGGGCCATCCCAGATAAATGGTTGTCTGAGCTTTGCTTAAAAACTACCATGTTGGGAAGACTGGAATCTTGTTCTTCAAATTTCTGAAGGGAACATTGGAGTAGGATTCAGCTGAGCACTTCCTTGAAAACCATGAGATACCGATTTTCATTACGTTCTTCTCAGGTAGCACGTTGCCCCCACTAGGCTGCCTCTGTAGACCTCTGCAGAGAGTGCCATAAAGCCCCATGGAGCAGTGTGCAAGTCTTAAGTGCCAGGACTGTTGCTGTTTAAACTCATGACCAGAAAGAGTTTTGGGAATCTCAAAACCTTTAAAGTATCTTCAAGCAGTTTTCAATGTCCCCCCATTCCTGAAAATCCTCAGTCTGGTGTCTGTTCCAAATGATACATTAAACTTTCCGTTTATTAAGGCTGACCAAAAAAAAATAAAAATAAAAATCCCAGGAGATTTGCTTATTGTCCTTCCTGAGATACCTTTCTATCTGCAGGTAGTGTCTGCCGCTCGCATCCTGTTGAGGAATCCTGGCAATCAGGCTGCTTATGAACATTTTGAGACCATGAAGAACCAATGGATCGATAATGTGGAAAAAATGACAGGTGAAATAACCCCACCCGTGCAATTATTTTTAGCCATGTTGGTGGCTGTATATTACTCTGTGAAGATAATGGGCGAGAGGTTGAAAGAAAAAGGAAGAGGATTATTAGGTGCTCTTAACTTTGCACAAAGGAGAGGAAGAGGAAGAAGAAGCGAGTACTGGGGATCAGGACAGGCTGGGGTTTTAAACAAGTTATATCATATTTTGATAACATTTTGCCCTGACACGGAGGACGGTCCCCCCTAGGTGTGCTGGTGGGTCTAACCATACTTGGCCAAAGGAATAAACAAAGTATAAAGATTTAACACTTCTGTCCTCAGATTTCAGAGTCATTTCTCAGGTCAAGCAAGGTTGGTTTGATCCCCAGACAGAAAAGATTTGAGACAATTCTGTAGCTGGACTCTCAAAATATCTTGCCAAAAAGGAGTTATTTGTGAGTAGCCAGTTGGCCAAATATTATGTTATGATTAACGTTAGTATAGCCTAGGTCACTCTATTAAGCAAAGAAATACGGTCTCCTTTCTGCCTTTTGAAATCCCATCCAAACTCTTCATGGTGCAGGATTGTTTTTTATTAAAATAGTTTTGAGGGATTCTATCTTTTTCCTTCCCTGAATATAAACATAATGTGTTCCTAGTTTAACCACTCATGAAGCCCATTAATATTGGAGGATGTTATAGAATTCACGAATGTGGAAACTTTCCGGAGGCAAGATAAGACAGTTAAGGGAGCAGAGCAGACATTCTTGGTGGCCCACATTTAGAGGAGAGGCCCATCCTGCTTCTGTTGGGCAGGCCGATCGACTCAGGGGTGTCCAGCTGTGGCAACTTTGAGATTCATGGATTTCAAGCTGCCTGGGGAATTCTGGGAGTTGAAGTCCACGAGTCTTAAAGTTGTCAAGGTTGGACATCCCTGGTCTAACCACATGATGCGTGAGGGAAGCTTGGTCTCAAGCAACATGTGGGTTACACATGGATGTACAAGGAGGTACATTTTTGAATGTGCCGTTCCAGGCTTAGTGGATGAAGCCATCGACACCAAATCCCTGCTGGACGCCTCTGAGGAAGCCATTAAGAAAGACCTGGACAAATGCAAGGTGGCCATGGCCAACGTTCAGCCACAGATGCTGGTAGCTGGGGCCACCAGCATTGCCCGGCGAGCGAACCGTATCCTGCTGGTGGCAAAGAAAGAGGTGGAAAACTCAGAAGATCCTAAATTCCGTGAAGCTATTAAAGCTGCCTCGGATGACTTGAGCAAGACCATTTCGCCAATGGTGATGGATGCAAAAGCCGTGGCAGGCAACATTTCTGACCCGGGTAAGTCTTTCACCAGCCTGTCTCAAGCTTCTGGCCTTTGAGGTTGGCCCCGGGGAAGTGCAGAGACACCGACAGCTTGTGAAGCCGTTTCAGCAGTGCAGTGTAAGAGGCACCGCCAAGTTACGGGAGGAGAACGTCCTTTCCCCAAGAGTTTCCACCCATCCAATCCGACCCAGCAGTTTGGGCGGGCTGTAGATCCTGTCAGCCAAAGAGTCGACTGGCGGGAACTGGAAGACGGGCTGGCTCTGCTCTCGCCCCTGCCTGGTGGTATGGTTCCCCGCCCCCCTTGGAACATAAAAGTGGCCCCCAACCCTCTTGGCCTTTTGCGAGGCTTTATAAACCGGGCTGTGTACCCGGGACCGGGGCTTGGAATGTGTGAAGTGACGATCGCTCGACTTTACTATCAGTGGATCTGTCATCACGGCTGTACTTACACGAGGTTTTTATTGTTTCAGTGGTTTTCGGTTGTTTTAATGGGTTTTAGAATTTTAGAATTGTAAGCCGCCCCGACTTGGGTGAGCTATAGAAATTGGATGAATGGATGGATGGATGAATGAATGAATGAATGAGACCAGTGTAGGTCTGTTGATGTGTCTCTTGTCAAATAGCTGTTTGAGTAATACAACATTCAGTGCTGGAGGTTGAAAAACGGAGAGTTGTCATGTGCAATAGTTCAAGTCCACATGTGAAGGTCGACTTAAACTGACTTATTACCAAAAAGCCTTTGTGTAGGGATCTTCTCAACTAACAGTAGGCATTTGCTTGGGGTTAAATAAGGATTGGTTCAAGGGAAATTGAACTTAGTTTGCTTGTGGCAACGTAGGGATTCTAGACTGATCCCTCGTTTAACTCTACCCCCCGGTTCTGCCACTCCTTCTCCTACAGAAGTTTAACAATTGCTTTGTTCCTTTATCCTATCACTGCCCCCTTGCTCCTGAGTCCCTAACATCACTGGAAGGTTTTGTGTGTTTTGGGTTCAGGTGGTGCCAACTTGGTGCCCAAACCGAGTGTTAATTGCTAGATTAAAATACTTTGCTTCCAAAACTTTAAAATAATCTTCTTTTTGTTTTTTTGGCCAGGTTTGCAGAAGAACTTTCTTGATTCTGGATACAGGATTCTAGGAGCGGTGGCCAGAGTCCGAGATGCTTTCCAGCCCCAGGAGCCCGATTTCCCGCCTCCTCCTCCTCCTGACCTCGAGCAGCTCCACGTAAGGAGCACTAATATTCGTTTAGCCCTGCTTGGTGAAGGAGAGAATCCGAACCAGCAGCCGTTGGTGTAGAGCGAGGTGTTTCAGACTTGGCAATTTTAAGATGGGTGGGCTTCCAGGATTTGAAAAATATTGGTTTAGAGAACATTTGTGTGTTTGTAGGGTTGTGACTGCATTGCACAACTAAATCACTTGGCATCTAAGTTCGATTCCCAAAACACTGATGACATAGTACTCCTTTTCATTTTCAAAATATTTTGTAGCAGGTCTTGGGGTGCTCCTTAATTCACTTTCTGAGTCATAAGAAACGACTCTTGTTGTAAACATTAACTAGCAACAGGGATGACTCTGAATTTGGCAAACCAGGCCTAAAGCCTCAAAATGCCCATCATGGAATTTGCTATAGATCCGGCTGCTGACACCCAAAATGCTTCTTTCCGCAGCTCACCGATGAACTTGCTCCCCCAAAGCCCCCTCTGCCCGAAGGGGAGGTTCCTCCTCCTCGCCCCCCACCCCCTGAAGAGAAGGACGAAGAGTTCCCGGAGCAGAAGGCCGGCGAGGTGCTTAACCAGCCCATGATGATGGCCGCCAGGCAGCTCCACGATGAAGCCAGGAAATGGTCCAGCAAGGTAGGCCCTTAGCCTGGAGGCTTCTTGGCCTAGTTTGCGCACTTAGAGGATGCCCTTCAAGGAGGGCTCCGCCATGCGGATTAGGATTCTTCCCCTCCCACCATTTCCAGTGCTTGCTTCCTTCTGGCGTGTGATCTTTCCAGTGTTGGTGCCGTTGGGTTTTTCTGGGTCAGAAAGGAGGAGACGTCAGGACAGGAAGCCGGCAGGGAATCTGGTGCCGGTTCTCCCCTTTTGAAGCTTTAGTTCAACAGGAGGTGGCTGTTGAAAGGATCCCTTGGACCCTCTTTGGCAAGGCAGGGGAGCTCAATTCGAGCCACGCAAATAGTCCGTCATGGAGATAAGCCGGCGGGAGAGATAAGGGAAGAGAACGAGAGAGACTCAGGATGTCTGTGTAGGAAAGAATGGAGAGCTGGGACAGGGCAAAGATATTTTGGCTGATTTTGAGCTGTCGGGGGCAGCCCCTTCAGCATCCCCAGCGGTTGCACTCAAAGAGCACTTGAATTTCCGGGAATGTATATCTGTAAGATTTAATTCTGTCCTTCCTTTTTAAAAGTGGCACGTTTGCAAGAAGATGGGATGTGTGTGGATGTGTATAACCTGGAAAATGTTAATATTTAAGTTACTGAAATGAAATATGGGATTTGTTCTTAAAATAATTTGATCAAAGTTTTCATCTTCTCTCCTTTTCCTTCCCCAGTCAGCCTATAATGTACGTAAACTTCATCAGTTTCTCAAAATAATATTATTTATACTAAACGAGCATTAAATACGTAGCTAGTTTTTTGTTTGAATTCAGGAAATCACATAGTTCATTATTTTAGACCCTACTTTCTTTCTCAGATATCTTACTACTATTAAATCTTGTGTTGATGGAGAAGGCACAGAAATTGGGGACAACCTAAGAATTAACATAAAGGGGCCAGCTAGAATAGTAAACAGGATGAGTTTGCAAGTATGCTAATCCATTTTGTTTATTTATTCATTGTCGTCTACAAACTATAAATGAACATTTTCACCCCTTTTTATAAAGGACTACTTCATTTTGATTTTAGAAAATTAGAACAGAATCCTTTGTAACAATTAAAAATGAATTTTCTGAAATATTACAGGAATATTTTCTGCTGATGAAATTCAGTAGCATGAAAAGCAAGGGAGTATAATGCAGTTGTCTATTTTATAAGCTAAATGGGACAATTCAGAGTAGATTTTTGTTTGTCTTGGATAAAATGGATGGGTCTGACTTCTGGGTCTTCGCAAAACTGTTCCTGTGATATATTTCTCTGAAATCTGTTGTGTTCCAGATGGTGCTGCTATACCAAAACGGAAGGGAAAAATGAGGGAGAGTGTTGGATTCAGTGATCGACATGTCTCCCTCAATTTATATTGATCTCTGCAACTCGGGTGTTTATCCTAATTACAATTTCTTCAGTGTTTGAAAATCTTGGTTATTGAAAGGGAACAACTAATTTAACTATTTGAGAAAATTCTGTTCCTAGATAGTTGCACAAAAATAGTATTTTTGTGAGTTGTGTTTGCCAGTTGATATGCCTAATGAACGTGTTCAGGAACTAAATAATTATTTATGATCATTTCTTTAATTTGGTACAATAACTTTTCACCGCTGGGATGATTATCATTGCAAATCACATTCTGCCCCAAAGCAACACACTGTGAGGGTTGTTTTTGTTTCGCTTTTAAATGAGCTTAAAAACAGTTAAGGGCTTTGCACAATTTTATAAAAAAATTGCAAAATGAAATGCCTTTTTGAAGATGTAGATTGCAGATAAGATTTGTCCATTCTGAGAAAAATGAAAGGATCCATCTTTTCCTCAAGGTGGATTGTAGGAGATGCTGCTTCTGTCTCTTAATTTTGCTCTAAACCCACATTGGAAAAACCCATCCAGTCTGGAATTCTGGATGAGGCTTCAAATCTGTCCACATGTAGGGCAAAATTTGAAATTTAATATTACATGTGACTGCAAGTATTTTTGAAATTTGAGTGGTTTTGTAACTTTGTAAAGAAACCAACCTGATACTTTGAGGGGTTGAATTTAGAGTAAGTAAACATTTTCTTTTTGAGTGCCTATTTTTAAAAGGATCTTCTTTTAAGTAGGCAAAAGTTGCTACTTTTGAGTTGTGTTAAAAATAATATGTCACATTGATTAGCTCTGACAACTTTGTATAGTAATCAGGCTATCATGAAAAAAGAGGTCCACTTAGAATAACCTTCAGAACTGTGGTGAGACCTTCATATATTTCTGGTTTTTCTCATGGTGTAAATTACCATTTTTTTCCCTTAGTAAAACCTTTGTAAATTGGATGCTTCACTCTTTCTACATTGAACAATCTACTGCTATCCTTTTCTTTAACCCTTTTTATCTATACTCTACTGTTCTGGTTAATGATCATAATAAAGATTGGATTGAAAAAAAATCTTAATTTAACCTTTGCTAGCATCTAAATGTATACACACAACTTTATGACTTCAGTCAGCATAATCAGAATAAAGATGATCTCTGTAGAAAAATGTACCTCAGATTTGCCCAGAAGTCTTGGCTGGACAGCAGAGGTAGCAAGTAGCACCTAATTCTAGATAGAGATACCTTTTAGTGATTAAATACTGTATTACCTAATCTCTTGAAACTATGGTTTCATGGGTCACTGAACATTAATGACCCACGTAAACAGATATTCTACAGGTTTAGCAGCCATGTTTCTTTTTTTAAAGATAATTCCTTCCTACCTTACTACCCCCAAATTTATGGTTGGAAGAGCAGAGAAGGAGAGTTGGAAATAAAACTTTCTAGAGGCAGGAATTCTTTATTTAATCATTTATCCTCTCCACAAACATGTCAGACTGACCCCAATAGAACAACAAGGCAGGCTTGCTGAACTTTCAGTTGACAAACTAACATCTTGTTGACCTCGAAACTAAATAGATGAACTAAAAAAGGGACCACATTTATTTTGGAGTTTGCTAATGTAATCGCACATTAAAAGTAGCAGCTTTTTCTTTCAGAATGCCAAATAATTTAGCACTCAGAACCAGAACCCTGGATGAAATAAGGGTCAACACAAAAATAGTGAGTGACTAAATAACACTGAAAATATGGCTGTATCTCAGGCCCTCAAAAACAGTAAATTCTGCCTGGTCCTCTTCCTTCCTGCCTTCTGTTCTGTACTGAACTGAATGTTGACAGTTGTGATGGTTGCTGCAATGATACTGGGCTGTTTTGTTTTAGGTACTTTGGGATGTGATTTGGGATACCGAAGCAAAAGATTTAAATCCCTTTTTGGATTTTGTAGAACAACATTGTGGCAAAACAATCTTGCTCCATGTCATTAACTTTCCACTAACAGAAACGTTCTGATTTGCTTTGACCCGTGCTGCTAACATCACTTTCTGTCAGGTAACGGTCAACACTGAGTAATGTCCCTGTTCTCTCTCTCTCTCTGGGGGTGAGGTGTGGGTCGTCCTTTCCTCCTTCCATCGTGCTTTGCTCTTCATCACTGTCTTCTCCATGGCTGGATCAAGACCCCGGGCGAAGGCCCAGGTGGGCGGCTGTGAAGGGGGCGCCTTGTGCGTCAGAGGCCTCCGCTAGCCCTGGCTCTGGAGAGACAGGCGCAGGTGAGCCAGCGTGGAAGCCGCTGTGCAGCCCAGCTTCCTTTGAACAGAGGGGTTTGGGCAGGAGGGGGGGGGTCACCGTGAATTTGGCCCTCTGGCTCAAAGCTGCCCCTCCCTTTTCACAGGGCCATCCTTCATAGCCTCCTGTGCTTGGCCGAGGTCCCACCCATAGCAGTTGGGTCTGCCCCGATGTACACCTGGTGTCCCCCCATAGTCCATCCATGCCATTTGAGTTTCCCTCTCTGTCGGCTTCAAGTGTTGCCTTTTCTTTGTGTCTTTGTCAGCGGCATTATTGTCTTGCCAGGAGAAATGTTGTGGCGAAAGATAAGACAATGAAAAGAGAGAAAGGGTGAAAAGCGTGTCTCGGAATGCTTTCCTAAATGTTTCTACTTTTTCAGATCCCTTTGCCAACCTCCCCATTCCTCCACCGTCCTTCCATCGCCCCCCCCTCCTCCCAAGAGGTCTCCTAAACTAGCTCGGTTCTTGCTTCTTGGACCGGATCCTGCGTCTTATACTAACTCTCCCTGTTTCTTCACCCTCCTCGTCTGCCACCTGCCAAGCCTGAAGTGGCTGGTGGGGGGAAGGAAGCCCCCACCGAGGTTGGCCTAGGCGTAGCTCGGGAGGAGGCGGAGGAGGAGGAGGAGGAGGAAGCAGGAGTTGAATTCACCCTCCCCTCCGACATGGAAGATGATTACGAGCCTGAGCTGCTGCTCATGCCGACCAACCAGCCTGTTAACCAGCCCATTCTGGCCGCTGCTCAGTCTCTGCACCGGGAAGCTACCAAGTGGTCCAGTAAGGTATTTGCTCCGTTTCCACCCCCCGGCGACTGATCCGCATTGCATCCGGCCATTTTGACACGTTTGCATCACTCTTGATCCTCGGCGGATCCCATGCCCCCCCCCTTTTTTTTTTTGGTCTTCTTCATGGTTTCTTTTCTTAATTGGAATGGATTCGAGTGTGTCTGCATTTCATGGTTGAGGGCCGCGGTTGGCTTCACAAGTGTCGTCAGGTGTGCTGATGGCCAGGCGAAAGCTTCAATCGGCCCACCCTGCCTCCCATCACCTTCCTCCTGAATCGGAGCCTGTCCCCCTCGGCCTTCCCCGTGCCAGGGGTTACTTAACAGGGAGCCAGAAAAATGGACGCCTGACCACCTGCGAAGCCATCGTTCACTGCCTTTCAGGGACTTCCAGACGGTCAAGGTGTCGTCATCACTCCTGAAGTCATTTTTAACACGCATCGTTCTGCTTCCTGCCTCTTGACCAACGGCTTCTACTAAACCTTTGTTCCAACGAGGAATGGCTTTGAATGGCACCATTGCCAAAGAGCTGGTCCTGTGGGCAGAGGCCGTGACGGCGGGCAGAGGCTCTGCTGAATGCCTTAAGATGCTAAATTCAGACTTTGCCCTCTTGTGTTTCAGCTGCGTTAATGGGGATGTGGGGTCTGTGGCTTTTGATGGGAATGGTCTGCTGGCACTAAGCACCAAGAGGAGTTTGCCAAGCTGCTGGATTATTTCTCACTCCCTTAAGAGTAGCATGCTGCAGAGAATAAACGTATGGCTGGGCAGCTCTGAGCGTCTGGTGTATGTCTGTATGGAAAATTAGCCTCTCTCTCTCTTTCTTCTTTTTCTTTTTTGCACTCATGGGTGAATGGCATGAAATCCAAAGGACGTCTCCCACGCGTGGGTAATGATGGAGTGTAATCCGGCATAATTCTCTTCTGTCTGAGATGAAATGAATGGGGAGGCCACTCAACCATTTCAGCCTGGCTTCTGCAGGAGAACCACCGGTGGGCTTGTGGATACAAGGCCCCTCCCCCTCTCTGAAGGGCATTTGGGCAGGGCGGGCGCGTGCCCCCCTCCTTGCCTCTCGTGGCGGGGGAGGGGCCTCTCGCTGGGTCTTGTGTTTTGGTCCTCCTCCCCAGCCACCCAGGAGGAGGAGGAGGAGGAGGAGGCATGGCTTTTCTTGGTTGGGAGTTGGCCAATGGCACTTGGACTGGCTTAGTGCATTGCAAAACAACAAACCATACTTTCCATCCTGGCTTGTACTTGTGTTATATGCTGCATTGCATTTGTTTCATTTGTACCCTTAAAACGAATGGGCTGACGGGAGCGCGGATGTGCCATAATCCTGAAGTGGAGCCTTTCGGAATTTTGCATCTGGGCAGAGTATCAGGACACGTAAAATGATGGAAGCGGACCCCCAAGTTTCTTTCCCTAGACAGCACCGCACATTTTGCCTTTTCATTCAACAATCACAGCACAGCCACAACGTTCTGCATGCAAAAGATGGGAGGGAACACCCCGCTTTTTCTACTTTCATACGTTCATTTCAACATACTAACTCATGTGTCTCCTCACAAATGTTGCATCCTGTCTTCTAACGTAAGAACTACCCTGCTCTGAGTATTCCTACAGACACAGAATAAGGGCTGGTAATGGTTGAACATTGGAAGCTTCGGACTGTTCTAATGTCATGATGAAGCTTGGTTTAGCACAACAGATTAACGCAAAAGCTATTGACCCGTTTTGTTCTACCATCCCCGCCATGTTGCAACTGTGAGGAGGGGAAGGTTTTTACTTCTCTTTTATCAAGTAATCACAGTTTCTCATTTTATCTGAATGCAACAGCAAACTATGATTAATTGTAACAGTGACTCAAAACAGAGTTGGTTTTTTAAAGGCTTTTAAATATGGATTAGTGACTTTCCTGTTTTTCCCAAGAGGAAAATGAAAATGGCTCATTTTGTCAAAGAATTGTTAATTCTTCGAGTTATCCATTGAAAGAAATTTTAGCCAACGGGTTAACCGATTAATGGATGAGTTGTGGATACGTTTATATACGAATAGAGCAAGCATTCAGATGATGCTTTATATCTGACGATTAATAGCATCTTCTTGTCTTTTTGATTGAAAAAAAAAATCCCTTCTACAGATGCATTTTAAATTTAGCTGATCAAAAGGCTTAAATAATGTAGCCTTTTCCATGTGTTTTTTCTCCATTCAGAATATTCAGTTCTCACCGTTTACTTCAGTTTGACCCTGTAACTGATTTCTTATTTACATATTAAGACTATTCACCATCATCACAACATGATGCTTTAAGACATTCTTTGGCCATTTTTTTTTAAAATGATGGCTTCCTAACTGAGAGTTAAACATCTGGACGTGGTCCTGTTCACTTTGGCAACACTACTAACCTGTACGTACTCTGTGTGCGGATGAGTGTGTCTACCCCCTCCCCTCTTGGCTGAAGCTTGTGGTCACGGAAGATGGGGAGAATTTCACACGTGGCCTTTGTGTTACCGTCTTGTTTTGTTTTGTTTTTTGTCGAGCAGCAACGGCACAGCCCCAGAACGTGGCTGTCGTTGGGGCCCGGAGCGATCACGCCGGCTCTCTTTTTCTTCCAGGGGAACGACATCATTGCGGCGGCCAAGCGCATGGCCTTGCTGATGGCCGAGATGTCCCGCCTGGTGAGGGGCGCCAGCGGGAACAAGCGAGCGCTCATCCAGTGTGCGAAAGATATCGCGAAAGCTTCCGACGAAGTGACCCGTCTGGCTAAAGAGGTGGCCAAACAGTGCACGGACAAGAGGATCCGAACAAACCTTTTGCAGGTAGGCCATGAAACCTGGCTTGGAAGGTGGAGAACGTCTCCAGCGGGGAAGGTCCAATCGGGGGTTGCAAAAAACCCATTGAAAAAATGCACCCACAGCCAAAATCAAGGTGTGTCTAGCTAAAAATCCACACTTAGGATTCATCCCTTTGCCTGTTTGTTTTTTTTAAAGTCGCGGTTGCTCCTCTTGGGTTTGCAAGCGTCACGAGGATGGCCACGCCGTTTTGCAGGAAAAGGTCTCGAATTAGCCAGCTTGCCTCTCAGTCGTTCCAGCAAAGCTTGTCTCCTTCTTCAGTCTAAGGAAAATCCCCCAGTGAACCTAATCTCAGTGAAACGGAGGGGCTTTCCTTCCCAGAAGTTGGGGGGTGGGAACATTTTTGTGCCCCCGTGCCGCTGCTTGCCACGGAGGGGTGCCTCCGGGGAGTCTTTGCAGCAAGTGATCCCCAAGAATGTTGTTCAAACCTGGCAGTTTTAAGATGTGTGGACTCCCAGAATTCCCTGGCAGCTTTTCGAAATTCATACATCTTAAAATTGCCAAATTTGAAAAACACCGATGTAAAATAATGCTCTGAACAGAGAAATCAATCCTCTTCAAAAATTCTCAAGGAAATATTTCTGCTGTCTGTTTTCCACTGCCGGGAAGACAGTTGACCCATTTTTTAAAATTCTTTCTTCAAGAGTTATGCGAGTAACCTATGCTTAATTTTAACGCAGACCACCTGAGCGAAAAGCGATGCTGGAATTGTTATTTTTAAGAGTAGCCCAGAGGATGATGAAAGCCAGCGTGTAACTCTCGTTTGTGTAGGTTTGTGAACGAATCCCAACCATCAGCACTCAGCTGAAAATCCTGTCCACTGTCAAAGCGACCATGTTGGGCCGGACCAGCATCAGCGACGAGGAGTCCGAACAGGTCAGTTTCCCTGTTCCAGGCAGGGGGGAGGGGCGTCTTCAGCTGAGATTGGGGGGTGTCGGGGAACAGGCCAAAAAGCAGCTTGGCTGTCCGGTAGAAAGTAGCCATCATGAAAGCAGCAGCTTCGGTCCCCAACCCTCCCGGTGATTTCTCTTCCAAGTGCAAAAGCCAGACGCCTTGTTTCATGTGTCTGTTGTTCTTTTCAGATATACAGGTAATCCTTGACTTACAACCCTTGGTTTAGGGACACTCAAAATTACAACGGCACTGAAACACCTTGCGACAGTTTTTAAACACTTCTCCCTGTTGCAGCATTGCCATTGGCCACGTGAGCAAAATTCGGACACTTGGCAACCGACTCATATTAACGATGGTCGCCGTGTCCCAGGGCCACCGGATTCCCTTTTGAGTCAACGGCAATTCACTTGAACAGCTGTGGCCAGAAAGGTCGTAAAATGGGGCAAAACCTGTTTACTAACTGTCTTGCTTAGCCGTGGAAATTCTGGGCTCAGTGGAAAGGCAGGAATGTCAGTAATGACACTGACAAAACTTTGCCATAGGAAGCAAGGATGGAAGATAAATGACTTTCTGTTTTCTGGCTGCGTTGGGTAGCTACAGTCAAATCTGGTTTACAATAATAATAATAATAAAAAAGCAGCCCCTTTTTCAAGGATGATAAAGGCCTTTGCTCCGGAATTTAAATTTATTCACCAGCACCATCTGCTGGGTAGAACAAAAATAATTCTTTAGAAGAGTCAGTGCGGTGGCTGTTAATTCTCCAGATTTGGTACCCAACACAGAAACTGAGGTCAGTGCGGAGAGAATAAATCCAGACCTTCCTTATCATGAATTCCTTCAGATTTCATTTTTAAACTCCCTTGACTTTCAATATGCAGCTTCCGTTCCGGCACAGAGGAGATAGCTCTGCCTATCGGCCTTATTTTACAAAAAAAAAAGCCAGGCTGGGGAATTCTGGGAGTTGAAGTCCACATGTCTTAAACGTTGCCAAGTTTGAGAAGTGGTGCTCTAAACGTCTTTAACGACTTGTCTTGGCTAAAATCGGTTTTGAAATGATTCTCCCCTCCAGGCCACAGAGATGTTGGTCCACAACGCCCAGAACCTCATGCAGTCCGTCAAGGAAACCGTCCGGGAGGCCGAAGCCGCATCCATTAAGATCCGGACAGACGCTGGATTCACTTTGCGCTGGGTCAGGAAGACCCCGTGGTACCAGTAGGGAGCATTGCTCCTCCTCCTCCTCCTCCTCCTCCTCCCGGAGCGTTGGGGGGGGTTTCCATGAGTGCCCCTCTTCTGTAGACCACCTGAAGGGGCTGCCCAGGTTGACACAAGTCTCCTGAAGGCCCCCCCCCCACACCTGGAGGGTTTTTAATAATAATGCTGGGCTGCTTTGGGTATCTAATCTCACTTTAGCTCGTTTCCAGACCTTTTCCCCCCCCTCCCCTTTTGCTTTTGATCTCTTTATTTTATTTTTGGAAACACTATTTCAACCCATTCTTCCCTCCTCTACCTCTGACACGATTGTGTTTTCTATGCAACACAGCAAGGGGCGTTTTGTCGTAGCATAGTTTGAAACTTCGGGCCACCTTTGTTGGCTTAGTTGTTAATTGTGAGGGACAATCAGGAAATCAAGTTTGGATTTTCAGTTCTCTGCTTTTACGTATTTTTTTTTAATGAGAAGATACTAAATTTAATTTTACCCTGTCCAAAGTGAAAAGCACCATTCCTTTGGCAGAAGAGAGTAAGTTTAGCAATCAAAAGTCGCTGCTCTTGTTTTTCACTAATAGCAATCTCTAAACAAAACTTTGGGGAAGGACTTTCCATAGCTACAGAGTTCCTTCAGCACAAAAGGCTCCCGTGCCAGAGCTCAGGAGGTGAGGAGTACTTAAGGCTTCTTGCCACCCAGATTTGATTTGACGCTAGGATGGATTTCCCTCGTTTTGCTAAACCAGAGGAAAAACGTGGAGGCACCATAGTAAAAACCCTCTCCATGGTCGTTTGGATCTGCTTCCTTACGAAGGGCCGGTGCCTTCAGCCAGAAGACACAGCGGTCTGCTCGGAGGATTTTGGCACGTAGCCCTCAGCACTGACAACAGGCTCTTGGGTGTTACCTCTTCACTTTTCTTACACAACCTTAGTGTTCGTCTTCTCTTCCTTGGTGCAATTCAAAAACTAAATTCAAAGGAATTACCTTTTCATGCCTTCTCTTCAAACGCCAAGATCCAGAAAGGCAGATTTCTCTCTCTGTCCTGGCTATACGGTACTCCCAATTGCCACAATTTTGGATCTTGGCCTCAGAAAAGGACGGGCAACCTTAGCTTGTCTCTCGCCTTCTTGGTCTGTGTGAACTCAGCAGGAGGAGAGGATTTGAAGGGGCCTCCCTGGTGCCTTTTATGGGAGGCGTTTTCCCACCTCATAGTTCAGCCTTTCGAGTGTGAGCTTCTTAAGTCACTACCATTTAATAGCTTGACTTTGTATTAATGCAATATTATTAATGCCTTTTGATTACACAACTTTATACCAAAGATTAGCTTTTGTTAAGGGATGTTTAAAGGAAAGCTCTGAATTGTATTTGACTTGGAGAGTGCTTCACAATATTTACTAAACTCAAAACTTTGTAAATGTTAATATCCTCCACACCTTATGCAATTATGCTTTCCTAAACACTCCTGCCCATCAGATTGAATGTCAGGAGCATTTTGCCACTACTTTTGTTTGTAAACCAGAATGATGTTGTATATGCTAATATTTTCAACTTTCTCTGTTCTGGTGAAATAAAATGAAAATGCATTTCTATAAAATACTTCCAGTGGATTATTTTTTATGACGGTACTTAGTTTAACAGATCCCACATACCTTTTCGTGATCTCATCTGTAAGACTTGGCTATAAATGGTAATGCTAAGAGGACTATTTGCATTTCCTTGAGGGAATTAAAATAATGGCAAATACCTGTATGATTCCCTCTGCATTACAATAAAAAATAAAGGTATATTTACCAGACAGAACATGCCACAATAGACACCTTTTGTTTCAAAATCTGAATCTTTAAACCCTGCTGTCCCACAATTATGTGTGAGAACTAGATTCACCTTCTCCACTAGTACGGGACCGTCTTAGATGCAAATGTGGATTGTGCCAGAAATAGAAAACAAAGACAAAATTGGTTTTCTCCAACTTATTTCAAATCCTCATTTAACTATGGAACCTGGGAAATTTGGGGTCTCTGTCCACTCTGGGTCACGCACAGTTGCTGGGGTGACACAATGACCTCACAAAGAATATGAATGAATACAATCAATAAGAGCATTTTCTTTATAACGGTGTGGCTTTTCCATAAATTGTTTGGATCAACAAGGAGCGCTGCCCTTCCCTTCACCTCTTGTGTTACGCTTCACCCAGATTCCTCCCTGCAACTGATCTGAAAGGGGGGGGGACGAGGCTGCTCTTGCCACCAACGTTTTAAAACTAAGGCAGAAATCCCATCTCTCTCTCTGGGGACCCTGGGCCATGTGGCCCAGTTGGAAAATGAAGTTGCCTGAGTGAAGCTGGTTCAGCTGTGGCCCCTTTTATTTCGTCAGAGACAGGCAGCGCCAGCACCCCCCCGGCTGAGCTACTTGGGAGGGAGGCGTGTAGGGCACAAACAGTGAAAGGTGCAAGAGGTCTGACATCCGCAATGCAGAGGTAATTGAAACCAATCGGGCTCCCTGCCCCATTCATTCATTCATTTCCAAAGCAAATTGTGGAGAGAAAAAAATCTTTTAACTCTGGCTACAGATTGTCTGCTGAATTCTCAAGCTGATAAGGCAATTCTGACCAAAAAAAGGCAGGGTGGTGTAAATCCTGCAGAAAAAGGCCTTTTTTTTTTTTTTTTTTTGGTTCCACTAAAAAGTCTGTGGGTGGAGAGGGATCAGGGCTTTCCCAGAGATCTGCTTTCAGAAACATCCGGCAAGGCTGCTTCTTTCTTTCTCTCCCCGCTTGAGGCTGGGCCTTCCTCTCTCTCTCCACTTCAGGCTCTTGTGCTTTGGCGGTTTTGCCTGGCCGTGTTCGGGAGCGGCTGGTTCAGAAAGGCAGCCCAACTACAAGCCAAGACCCACCGAGTCCACCAGAGCCACTTACCAGGACGCTCCCCTGCGAGAGCCACGTAGAGAAAGAGCAGCTGCACTGGTGGAAATGGGTACTGGGTGGAATGGGCATCGTCAGAGGAATGGCTGAAGTTGGCATTGAAGAGGAATTTAGGTAACTTAATGCTCATTTTTCTCCGAGGCTGGAACACAACGCGTGCGTGCACACACACAGACGCACAACCACCTGCCAGAAAAGCAGAGTTCTTAAGCTTCATGTTCGTACTTGGAACTTCCCGGCCTTTGTGATGTACTTCACACCTTTAAATGGTTTGTATTTTTCTCCATACATGTCAAGGCGGTTTACTTTCAATCCTGAAATAAAGAAGGAACAGGTATCAGAACAGTGTATTTCAGGAAATCACGGAAGAACGGTGACTGTGGAATGAAGCTCTTTTAGTTCCCCTCCTAGCCCTTGATGGGGAGCACAGCAGTGCTTTCCCAGGGAAGGTTAAGCTGGCTCATCAACCTTAAACAGCCACAAAATGTTGACTGCAAAAAAAAAATAAATAAAAAGGGAAACCATCATACTGGAAAACGTCAGGCCGAGAGGGAGACCTGGAGGCTCCGAGAGCTGAAGAGGGCACGGAGAACATCCAAGTTTAATCTCAAGGCCACCAAGGGCTTCCATGCCTCCTCGGTGCACGAGTTCGAGTTCAAGCAAGCCTGGCTGCTGACGGCCGCCTCATTTCTCCTCACACACATCCCAGAAAGGCGAGTCCAAGCTCACCTTGGACGTTTCAATACTCGATATTCTATCTGGAAAACTCTACAAAGGCTGGGCCTACAGCAACGTTCTGTTGCAGGTTCCGTGCAAACCAAATAGTGGCAAAAAATAAAAGGATTTGTGTTTGCAACGGGTGGGGGGATTTATCCATGCACGGACTCAAGCAACCCTGCATGCGGGGAACAGCTGGGCTGGCAGTTAAGGCTACTCTGAACCTCCTTCCAATTACGTTTCAGTTTACAAAACAGCTCTGGAATTTGGTTATGTTGGTTATTTATTATGTTAAATCGGCCACTACAGAATTTATATCAAAGTCTCCTTGTGCCGAGTGGGAATCCCGTCTTACCGGAAATAGCCAGTTGCTGGATCTTGAATTGAATGTTCAAACTTGGGTTCTCCTCTGGCTTTGGAGCTCCAGACTGTAAATTCACCGTCCCCTTAAGAGCAGGCAGCTTCTGAGGGATGATTTTGCCTACATCCCAGGTTAACACCTAAACAATCATCAAAAATATTTATAAAGTGTTTTAAAACCATTCTCTCTCTCTCTCTCCCTCTCCCTCACCAATCTCACAGTAGACCTCACAAGGACAAATGCCAGTTATATTTCAAGGAATTCTTTATTGGCCAAGTGTGACTGGACCCACAAGAAATTTGTCTCCGGTGCCAAAGCGCTCAGTGCTTAAAAGCCATGACACGGCCTAATCTGAATAAAGGCAGAAGGCCCAGCCCTCAGCCGTCGCCACCGTATCCACGGGAAGAGTTTGGGAACTCAAGCCGAGATGCCTAGTTTGGAGGACAGGACTCGCCTTAGTGACGGGATCAAACATGTAGTTGCCTTGCGTGGGCATCAAGCTCATGTTGAGCACAGCTTTGGGCATGTGAACAGTCACGATGACTCCTTCCACAGTCTTCCCCATGTTCTGCTTAGGCCCAATGGTGACTTCAAATCTGCCAGAAGATGAATTCTCTTTGAAAGTAATGGAATGTTTCACGTACACTGGAATAGCCACCAAGCTGAAGCAAGAAGGAGAGACACTAATTATTCAGGAAGCATCTTACACTAATTAACAAGCGATCCTCCAAAGCACCAAAAGGCAGGACAAGAAACAACGGCTGGAAACTGACCAAAGAGAGAAGCAGCCTGGAATTAAGGAGAAACTTCCTGACAGTGAGGACAATTCACCAGTGGAACAGCTTGTCACCAGAAGTTGTGGGTGCTCCAACACTGGAGGCTTTTAGGAAGAGGCTGGACAGTCACTTGTCTGAGATGGTATAGGGCAGAGGTAGGCAACCTTGGCTCTTTTATGACTCGTGGACTTCAACTCCCAGAATTCCTGAGCCAGCCATGCTGAGGGGAAAGGGAGAGGTTTCCAAGCTGAGC